CATGTCTCTCTGACTGACCATGAAATACTCATAGCCTGATTGTATTTCACTTATTTCTTCACAATATGTATATTCTCTCTTCCTCTCACGATGGAAGAGCTTTGATGCTAAAAATAATGATATTGGAATAATCCTTCGTTGAGACCAATATTATCCTACCTGAGATGTATGTACATAGGTTCAAATTAGGTCCTGGACTTCCTCTGTCCTCTGATTTTGTTGTTGTTATTGTTAGTGGTTTCTTTTGCATGATTTTTCCTGATGAGGTGTTATTATTCAGAAAATATCCCCATAAACTAGATTATTTTTTATCCTGGATATAAAATTTTCCTGGGCCTAGGGGCTTAAGTGTTTTTTTTTGTTTCATAGAAGGTACTTAATCATGTTCTTAATAATAAGAATCCATTTATTAATTGTTACATGGTAACATCTAGATTTGTAAATTATTAAAGGAAACACTCCCTATGTCGCATTCTTTTTCTTATGCTGTATGTTACCCTTAGTAAAAGTAGTATTGTTTTAGAAACAAAGTTTTTAGGGTACATGTATAGGCTTCAGTTGTTAATTTGTTTACAATTAACAACATACATTATTTTATGCCTTTTCAATTTGATATAAGCTCCCATGAGGGTAGGGACCATGCCTTAGTCATAATTATATCCTGAGTAGTGGTATCTAATGGGGTCTTGTACATACACAGCAGACACTAAATAAGACTTGTTAAATGAATATACGGCTGTTATTAACAGACTTATACTACTCAGACGACACCAAGACATCAACAGTTAAATGTTTTGTCCAAAGTTTCAATAGTGAGACTACACATGAGAAGCTAAAATTTTGGCTGTCAAGGAATAATGTAGAGGTAATACAGAATAATAATTAAACATGGAGACTGTGGAACCATATCGCTTGGGCTCTACTCCTGGCTCCCCAACTGGAATACCTGAGCCAGCTTAACCTTTCTGTGCCTCAAGTTTTGCATCAGTGAAATAGGAATAATAATAACCTCTTGCTTGTGAAGATTAATTAAATAAATATGTGCAAAGTATTTAGAATGGGGTCTAAGCTTTTATACTAATGAAGACATTATAGGTTTACATTTATTATTTTCATTACAATGATTATTATTTAGGGAACGTGCCTCACAGGCAAAAGTTGCCAATCATGTAGCAGCTTATCCTTCAATGAAATGCACAGTGTATTTTGCAGTGAGGGAGTTTTTGGTTTGCATTACTGAAATGTTCTCTTTGTTTTAGGAAGCAACTGAATAACGTGAAAATATTCTGCCTATAATTTCACGAAGTAGGATAGCAAAAGGATTTCCTTTCAAATTACTTTGTATATGTGTTTGATGTAAGTAGTTTTTAAAATCTTAGAAATCACTAGGATTTTAGTTTTTAAGCTTTTAATATCTTAGAAATGCACTAGAATGCATGATATATTTGATTTGCAAGTTGGATAAGGGTTTGTAAAATTATTTTATAAACAGAGAGTTATTCTGTTTGAAGAAGGTAATGTGCATTAGTGTATCCAAGTTAGTGTATGTGATATATTTAGCTGTAATGAAATGTGACCTAGATACATTAATGTAACAGAGTAGTTTTGGAATTATTTGTTTATAAGGCTAGTTACTCCCACTTTCCAGCTGTCTCTTCTTGCAAAATCTTGGAGCCTAGTGGACATATTAGAACTATCTATCTAAATTCAACTTACAGGGAAAAATGGAGCTTCACCAAGCCATGGTTTCCACTTGAGAATTAACAAATGGGTATTTGCTCCAGTTTTTTTTTTTTGATGATAATGTGGTGAATATGTGAGAACAGACTTGCACTCCAAGCATACTTTGAAATTAGTAAAGTATTCTGGGGAAAAGTACAGAATAATATTTAATTCTGTGAAAACAGGATAATCTATGCTTTAGTTTCTATTTTTTCACAAATATATATTCTCATTTGAATGAATGACTCATAAGAATGTAAAGTGTATATAAATTTATTATATGAAATATATGCTGATATTTAAAAATTTGTAAATATGGTGAGATGCTATTCTTGTTGAAGTAATTCTGGTACTTCTCTTCAAGGTATGTAAACATCACTAAGACCAGTGATGACTGGACTCACTAAGACAGTGAGACTGAAAGCATTTTGTAGAAATGTATTATATAAATGCTATTCTCATTAAAATCCTTATGCCTATTTTATTAGTTCAGGTATCTGTCTTTCTACAGATAAATATCTGTATATCTGTATGCATGTATGTATGTATATAATATATATGTACATATATTATATATAACTATATACACATCTTATAGAACCTAAAGATTCATTAGGTCCCCTATATATAGATTATGGAGTAGTAGTTCCCTAGAGCAGTGGTGCCAAGTCTCAATATAACTGAGCCCTAAAAAAGGAAGCTCTACAAAATATCTGCTAAAAAACACGAACAGTTTTGTGAATTTTAAATTTTAAATGAATTTTAAAACTATACAATATTGTGAGATATCAGGAGACAAAATCATGATCTCCCAATTCTTCATTTTCTTTTTTTCTTGGTCCTCATGTGGAAATCTCCTTAGGGACTTGGTTGTTAGGGATGGGAACTATATAAGAAGTGACGCCCCCCTAAATCCAATTTGTGGGAGAGTAATTCAAACATGTTCAAACAGAAGGTTTTGCACTGCTTTAGCCTGGGTGGGATTGGATTTACTGGTAATCGACTAGTTGTCAGTTCTTCTACAGGATTGGTTGCCTTAGGACCTGCTCCACAAGGAGTGGGTAGGAAGAGCTTAGTCATGACCTACGCAGGCTGGCTCTCAAATCACAGGCAGTTCGCTGCACTCCATCACAGAGAGGAAAGAAGGATATCAGGCTGGATTTTTCAGATATTTGTGGAAGCTGGACAATCCTAGAAGAAATTTGACTGGACTAGTAACACAGCGAAATATCAGTGAAGATATAGCAATAAAAGTGGAGGTCCGGTGCTTGCAATCGGCTTTTCTGATTTCCATTTCCTTTAATGTACTTTGAAGTTTAAATCACAGCTATCCGGCTTCAATAAAATTGCAAAGCATTTTGTGGGGAAGAACTAAAAATCATGGTTTTATAATGAATTTTTTGAATCTAGCTTTTACTGAGTCTCTCTCAAGTAAGTGTATATCTAAATCTATAGATTGTTCTAACATAGTTTTTTAAAAAGCAAACGGTGAAAATCATCCAAAACAGCTTGAACTTTGTGAACTTCCACATAAACGGGTCATACGGCAGTGAGATTACAAATTTATTAAGGGTGCTAATGGTAGAGGGTTTTTTTTTGAGAACAAATTCCAATAAATACAAATTTTGAGATAAAACAATTAAAGCTACAATCCATAATTCGTCATTAGCACCCAAGGAAAAGACTATAGTGGTAAGCAAATAATCTATGAAGATATTTACAAAAATTGTACATCCATGAAGGAGAAATTTTCTAGCATAGCAATTAAGGTTGGGAAGAAACCATGGGCTGTTCAACTTTCATTATCAAAATATAAACAACTTAGTAGTAATATAAATGGCGAAGTGTTAGAGATCTTAATAAAGATTGACTCATAGAAATGGAAAATAGGAAAATACAGTAGGAAGTGAAGTGTTCACACTAAGTAGAAGATGTTTAGATTCCCTAGTTGCAAGGTTTTAAATGGCATGCCTTTATCTTTGTGAATTTCAATTAGACTCTGCAGTGGGCAAGTCAGGAAGGGAATATTAATGATGGAGGAGAAAGCTGGGTGGTGTTCCATTCTTCACAGAGGCAGCTAAGTAGAGCAAATGTTTGTTTAGGTTGTAGCTTATTAAATGCTCATTTAGAAAGTGGTGATTAATAGGTTAAAAAGAACAGCTTGAAAAATTTGCAATGTAAAGGTTTTATTGTCCTCACATAATCTTCAAAGCAAAGCTAAAATTTACCGGCGATTAGAAGTGCCTGTTATGAAAACTGTACCATCTAGGAAAAATATCTGAATTTGGGTTCATATCTAACAAAATTGAAGTGTTTGGCATATATTGACTCTGAATGCAAAAGGACAGAAACATATCAGCATACTTTTTGTTTTTTCGTTTAAAATGTCTACCATTTATTACAACTTCTTGAAGAGACAAACACCCGTTCTGCTTTGCTTCAGAAGGATATGCATAACGTTCTGTCTTACCTGCAGTACCAAGAGGAAAATGTCTCTCTTTTTGTTGTTGTTCAAGTTGCACGTTTGGATTTTATCGCCTCGGATAAAGTAGAAGAGAAATGAGACAAATTAAGCACAAGGCTGAAAGTGTACGATGGGACTGAAATTACAACAGGTCTCTACACCAGCAAAAACCCCTAAAGGGGGAAAACCTCAAAACATGTTACATACCCCGCCCCTACCCCGCCCCGCTGCGGAAAGAATTTGCAGAGGTAGCAGAAGCACAGCAGGTTCCTTTTTGCTGGGGGTGGAGGTGGGTAGGGTGGGGAGTACGTAAACTTTTTTGGAGCGGTTGATTGAGTTTGTCCTCCAGGTAGGGAGGACGTTTGTGAAAAGATATTGGGGAAGAGAATTGCTGAGAGTGAGCGGGTTTCCCAATAATTTGCAGATGACTTGACTGACCAGCTCCAGGGAAGTCTCCAGCCCTCAGAGCTTTGAAGGGAAATTGGTCCTGATTGCAGGAGTGTGAAGGAATGAGTGGTACATCAGAAGGGCTCAGGAAATCAGAGAAACTTCCTGCTGTCTGATTCCACGCAACATGCCTCGAACTTGGTCCTGCGTGGATGCGCTGACGACCAAGTACAGGCGTGATGAGTCCCCTCGCCTTCCAGCGGGAGCTGTACCTCTCCTCGGCAGCCACGTCGCTCCGGAGCCAGGGCACGCTGGGGGGCGGGCGGCAGGGAGAGGTACCGGGGATCTAGGGCCGCACAAACACACCGCGTCCCCGAAGCCGCACCAGCACCCACCAGCAGCCCCCTGGAACCTCGGGGCCTCCAGGGAGTCCCTGAGGGCGGCCGCGGGGCGCAGTCCCGGGCGGCGAGTGGGCTCCGCTCCTCCGGCGCGGCGTAGGCACGGGGAGAGGCGCTCGCCGCCGCTTGGGGATGTGCCCTGGCAGGTGCCCGGCGGGCGGCGGGCGGTGGGCGGTTACCCGGTATCTGGGCGGGGGTAGGGGGGCGTCCCTGCGTTGCCGAGAACCTCGTTAGCCCTCCTTTCGGGCCTGGCTCCTCCTCCTCCAGGCGTGGGGCTCGTGCCCGCCGCTGCCTGCGCGCACCGTGCCGCTGCTCGCGTCCCCCCCGCACCCAGCCAGCTCCTGCCAACGCTTTCCCCTCCTCCTCTTCCTCCTCCTCCGCCCATCACCGCCACTACGGACGCCTTCGCCTCCTTCTACTCCTCGCGCCGCCGCCACTCCTCGCGCTCTCCTTCGGCTGCTACCAGCCCATCGCTCCCGCTCGCCGGGCTGCTGCTGCAGTCTGTCTGTCTGTCTGTCTCTCTCAAGTTTCCTATCTCCTCTAGATCAGGGCAAAGGGAGGAAAACACCCAATTCTGCTTGCCGTTTCAGGTAAGGTCGCACACGTTGGTCCCAACAGGGACCCTTGCTTCCCCATTTACCTTTGCCTTCCGTGCATGGCTCATCTCCCCCCATTCACTCTCCGATGGTCCCTGGAAACCGAAGCGGCTCAGGTCGCCCCCTCCTCCCCAGCATGTTTAAAAAATAATTTCGATACTCCTCACCAGAAGCCTATTTGCAACTACAATTAGATCCGAGACGCCCGCCCAGCAGCACGTTAGCCAGGCTCTTTTATAGTCTTTTAACTTTGCACGCTGTGATCGCCGCTGCCTGTCTGCCTCCGCTGGATCCCGGAGCCTCACGCTCCGGCTCGGATTGCGGTCCTCGGCTCCGGAACAGCTGTCAAACGCGTTGTTTCGCAGCAGTTAATCCGAACCCGGCTGCCTCCAAGACGTGGTCTTGGGCAACTGTGGTTGGGCAGGGAGGGAGGTGATTTTATTTTATTTTAAAAGGACTGAAGTAGTGAAGACGTGAGGACTGCAGTTCATTGTAATGGAAGAAGAATAATCGAAAAAAGTGGGCTGGCTGCCCCTTGCTTTTCCCGCTGTGGTCGCGGAGGCGGTCTTGGTTGAGGGGATGTGGCACGAAATACCCGTTTCTCCTCCCCTTTTTCACTCTCCCCTCCAACCCATTCTTTTCTCTAGCTCAAATGTCAGTGCAGGGTCCCGTGTGTCCTTAATACGTGTGTGTCCACAAAACAGTGTTTGCTGACGATGTGGCTGAGGGAAGTTCCTGGCAGAGCAAAGTCTGATTATTTGGCCATCATTCTGTTAAGAGAAAAAAAAAAAAAGAAAGGAAAAAAAAAAAGAAGAAAAGAAAAGAAAAGACCCTCCTCCAGTCATCACACCCTACACACACTCCGCTGGAATAATCTCTATATCTTTAACTCCAATTCCCAGTTGAAATGACATTCTTTTGGGCTGTTTGGACGGTGGGACTGAATGTAATTTTAAGTGTATTTTGTTTTTCTTCCATGACTTTACAAAGAGTGGTGATGAAGATGAAACTGCACATCTGCAACACGCAGTTGCTGCTTCTTGTTTTCTTGGTGTGGGACCCAGCCAGGTGAGACAATTATTTACTGTATTTGCCATTTTAAATTCAGGGTGAAGGTGTGTTTCTTGAATGTTATCAATGCAGAGGTGGCTTTTCAGAAGCTGAAGTATTTTGAAGGATCATTTCTAATGAAAACATATTGTACCAAGAAACAGAACTATTCAATGACAGAGACTATTAAAAGTTCGCTGCTTCTTGTTTTTAGCGATAAAATATAAAAGGGAATACAAACATTTTCTAAAAAAATAAATCACGGGAGAAAAGAGTGCCCTTTAGATGGCATATTTTTGCAAGGAATTGAAGTGGTTGTTATATGCGATTATAATAACACCAAAGTTCAGTAAAGAAACCATCGGTTTTCCTTTAAGCCCAACAGAAAACATAAGCTAAAATGATTTGAGTGTTAATCTTTTTCTTTTCTTTTTCTTTCTGTCTTTCTTTCCTTTTGGTCTTGGCTCTTTCAGTCAACATAGAAAACCTAAATGATGTGTGGATCTGAAACCTCTAGGTGGAGGTACTATACAACTTCACAATCACAAACAAATAAAACAAAAGCTTGATTTATTAATCAACTTTTCATATTATTGATTTAGAAATTTTTACTTCTAAAATGGTACTGTCATAAAAAGTACTTACTTTGAAAATGTAACAAATTCTGTTTTGCCTGTATTCTACAAATATCAATTTTAATTTCTGTTGTTTTCAATAGCATCATCTTAATTGTAGTCTTTTCTGATTTTTTTTATCATCAATGGGCAGCTTTTATTAATTGCCTAAATTTAGGGTATGGTTTTCAAAATGCCAGAGAACTTAAAATATGATTCATAATAATGTCCATGTAATTATTCCTTTAAAAAAATTAGTGTTTATGATTTTATGATACCTTTATTTCCCTTTAAATTTTTCATTTCCCTATCTCAGTAAAATGAAAGTTTGTCAAAGTTTGAAAATACTTTCTAGAACTGAGAAGAAATCTCTTTATGAAGTCTTATTTTTAATTGGAAAATAGCTCCTCATTTAATATCTTAATATTGAGTTTAGAAAGAAAATGTGACATGTGATTAAAAAGCGCTTTCCAGTGAAAATCTCTAAGTGGAACTTCATGACCATCTTAGTGATTGGTTTTAAAGTTAGCTTAAGGCAACATAAAAACTTTTGAGGCTTGAGGTATGAACTAATTTGCTTACATAATTTTTTAAATGTTTATCTTTATATCAATATTTTAATATTTTCTCTTCTCCCAAGAGGATATTTGCTTGAAGTTGGTTATTGATTTTTCGATGTATTATGACTATTTTTAGCTACTAGCTGTGTAATCATTTAAATGCAAATGAATTCTGTCAATGATATTTCACACAGTACACCTTGATCAGAATGCAATTACATATAATCTTTGATTTTAGAGGAGTGAACAAACTGTGGTCCATTAATAATCATTGAAAATCCTCAGTACTTAACCATATTTTCTTCTACTAGTTTTCTGTTCTATATTTGACCAGTAATGCTCATGCCAGTATTTTATTCTATTATATAAATGATTCTTTTTCTGGACCAGTAATTTAAATCTCTGAATCATTCTGGGGAAAAAAATGGCAGCGAAAAGGGACATTCTGTTTTATACATCCAGTTGCTTCTGCACCAAATTGCTGGATGTCACAAAACCAGGTGTCTGGCTTTCTGATGGAGAAATAATGGAGAAAATCAGTGTTTCTAACCCTCTTCTGGTGATATTTTAAGACCACTTATTCTTTCCTCAAATTTATCACACACACGCACACACACACACATACATACACACACACAAAGTAGCTGGGCATTTAATCTTTGGATGACCTCTATTGCTCTCCTCAGAGACCAGTCAGGAGGGGTACTCCTCCAAGGCTCTCTGCAGCTGTGTCTGTGCTGCTGATGCTTTCAGAGCCCACCTCCACCTCCTGACTTCAGTGGAGTCTGGAACACAGCCAGCGGAGTTTCCCTGATGTCTATATTGCACTTGGCCATTGGGTGGAGGTATACCCAAAGTTAGAAAATCATCTTGGCTTAAAAGAGAAAAAGACATAAAAAGAAAAGACATTTCTGAGAAAGATGGAAAAATTCTGTGCCTCCAAGGAGGCAATTTATTTTCCAATTAATATTCAAATCACTGAAGAATTCTTTCAGTAGTCCTTTTGGTTTTTGTACCTTTCCAAATGCAGAACAATATTACTAATAGTATCTGCATGTGATAATCTACCACCATAATATATTCTAGGGAGTGCATTTTAGAAAAATTGAATAGGTCACACAAAACGCGAAGTGATAGAAATCTGAAATAATTTTGGCATCAAACTTTCTGATAAGCTAGTATTTATTATCTATTTCCAACAGCATGTTTACCTTCCCTATAGACATACTGGCATTTAAAGGAGTGGAAAAAAAAAAAGGAGGAAAACGGGTGACACTAATAGCTCAGGGAGCCTTAAAATTCAAATCAAGGAGGAAGAGCATGTTGGCACTTGCAAAACACACGTATGCATATATATCAGCTTGTAAAATTATCTGTTTAGGTTGGTGCTGGCTAACATCCAAGAAGATGAGGCTAAAAATAACATTACCATCTTTACAAGAATTCTAGACAGACTTCTGGATGGTTACGATAATCGGCTTAGACCAGGACTGGGAGGTAAAAATAGTTTTTCTTTTCTTAAATGCTCACAAAATAATGCCTTTAAAAGTTAAGGGTAATATTTATATTTTAATACATTTTATACATGAATGCATTGTCACATATTAAAAAACATAGGTAATAGAAAATAAGGTATATGAAATAAACATTATCTCTGATTCCTTTTATACAGATATAATGTATTTACCATACCTTTTATAGACTACCTGAAGTCATATAGAGCCCAGACTTTGTGCATGAATAGTTTTTAAATTAGTTTATTTATAATGGCTAAGTTTTTCAAACTTAGACTATGTGAAAGCGTGACATTATTGGGCAGATATGCTTGTATAGTATCTTTCGTTTCCTTCATTGAATTTTACAGATGCCTACTTTCACACTAGTACAGATATATAGAAACGAGAAACATAAAAATATAAAAGAGTATCTGGGTTGAATTTTAGCAACCAGATAAATTTTAGCAATCATCACAGGATTCTGTGATGATATTTCTTTACACGTGCATGTGACGTTTCTAAAATACAGCACCGGTTTGGCATTCTTGAAACTTTCAAAGACATTTTGGGTATACTTCAGCTGTAAGCCTAATTTATTGACCTGTGGTACAGTTTGATTTCAAATTTAAACATTCATTCTCAACTCAGAAAAACAGATCTATTTTTATCCATAAAGGTAAAGGAAACTAGGCTTGGCTAATGTGTTAAATTTTAATTATCCTTTAGCATAGATGGGTGATACTAAGGAGATTAGGCACAAGTAAGGTAGGTGTGTAATTCCTGAAAGGATTCTGAGTCAAAATATTGTTACTCATTAATTCTAACATGAGATGTATATATATATATATATATATATATATATATATATGTATGTATATATCTGCATGCACACATTTATCAAATGCATGTTATACTAATTAGGATGTTCAGTTTAATAACTAATTCAAAGTTAAGATGAATTAGTTGAATGCTTGGTACTGACTGAAGGTTTATATAGTTAGCCTGATTATTACCAGGTTGGCAACTTTGCAATATTAAATTGCTTGAAAAGATGTGTAGTGACTAAACACCTGGATGTTTATGTCAATACTGTCTTTTGAAAAATGTAAGTGGTTGTTAATTCTATACATATTTGGCAATTGTATGGTTTGCATTGCCCAGGAGTCAGAAAAGGTTGGAAAAGACCCAACTTGTTTTTAAATAATATGCCATTTAATTGATAGTGGTTTTGGACTTGAATCCTGAGTGGTACCTTGCATTTCAAGAGAGAAGTGATGGGGAAGAATAATGTTCAGAAGTATGATGCATTGTATCTCTCAGAGATAATTCAATTGTTTAATATACACTTAGTCTACTAAAAGAAAAACTCTCAAGTTTATGAGTCTGTTTCCATTTTGTAAATAAGTTCTTTACTCCAATATAAAATAAAAAGTTAAAAGAAAAGTTAAAATAAGGAAAAACTAAAGGGAAAGAATCTTTTCTTAGTAATTAACATTTCTAATGACCATGAATAGAAGGCATTACCGTCCATGTTAGCATATATAGCAAGGAGCTAATGTCAAACTCATACAACAGAAGTATGCCTAGCATGAGGCTGTCATAGTTCATGATGGTAATTTGGGAGGTAGATTGCACTAAGGCAGATATTTTCCCAAGGCTTAGATTTTATTATTTTTTAATAAATCTTGTGCTGTCTAAAAGACTTAAGATATTTAAGCTGGATCTTGGATTTTGTCTATTAGATTTTAAGAGAAATGTTTACACTGTGGGTGTATAGTTGGGAAGTAAAAACTACCTGTTAAAGGACATGGATATTGCCATTTATCTCTTCATATTTCTTTTAAAATATCTCTTCCATTCTTTTTACTTTGGTCATCAGCATTCGAATATAGATCCTTGTCACTCATTCTGTAGGTTAATGCAATAGACAAAGTGGCTCTTCTTGCCTAGTGTCTTCCTTCCCCAATCCTTCTCTGATAGTGGACATGTGCTAACATTTCACAGTCAGATTGGTCTTCTTGTAGTCAATACTTTTCATATATTACTCTCTTGTCTTGATCAAATACCTGTGATAGCTCCCCATTGCTTTCTGTAGATGGTGATGAGGGGGTAGGGGGGAAGGAATATAGGCCTTGCATGCAGATGGATCTAGATTAGAATTTCTGCTCCATCTACACACCCAAAACTGTGTCTTGGCCAGGTAATCGCTGTTTCCTTTCATTTAAAATGGTCATGATGGGGATTCCCTTGTGCGTTATTTGTTGCTTTTCCCTTGCTGCTTTTAATATTTTTTCTTTGTATTTAATTTTTGTTAGTTCAGTTAATATGTGTCTCAGCATGTTTCTCCTTGGGTTTATCCTGTATGGGAGTCTTGTGCTTCCTGGACTTGGGTGACTATTTCCTTTCCCATGTAGGAGGGTACAAATGAACTTATCTACAAAACAGAAATAGAGTTACAGATGTAGAAAATAAACTTACGGTTACCAGGGGGTAAATGGGGGATAAATTGGAATTGACATATACACACTACCATATATAAAATAGATAACTAATAAGGACCTACTGTATAGCACAGGGAACTCTACTCAGTACTCTCTAATGGCCTATATGGGAAAAGAATCTAAAAAAGAGTGGATATACGTATATGTACAACAGATTCACTTTGCTGTACACCTGAAACTAACACAACATTGCAAATCAACTATACCTTCCCAAAATTAAAAAAATAAATAAATTAAATGGCCATGATGTATTTCTACTTTATAGTGTTGTTGAGAGGATTACATAAACTACAGTGTACATGCAACATTCTAGCAGTTAAACACAATCAATTCCTTCCCTCCTCCCATAGGTTCCGAACATGACAATCAAGGTTTTTACAATTTACTTCTCTGGCTTAATTTTTTCTTTGCCACCCATCTATCCTGTACTTCAAACACATTCATTTTCTCTTGATAATCCATTCACATCTGCTCCCTTAGCCTTTGAGGGGAAAATATTCCCCTCTCACTGGAATTATTCTTCCTCATTCTCTCTTTTCTTGTGAAGACCACCTCAATGTGGATCCTTTTCAGTAATAACCTTTCTTAACTGAATTGAAGCACCCAGATTCAATTTTCCCTCTGTTGAATTTCTTTGGCTGTTGTTGGCTTTGTTTCTCATTTGGTACGTATTATGTGCTATCCTGGATTATTTATTACCTTTTTATGTGTCTCTTGTTACCTTAACAAGAGCGTAAACTTATTGAGGCAAGGTATTGTATCATAAATGCTCTGTACTGTCACTACCTAAATATTGATTTGCATATGGTGACTCTAAAAAAAATATATTGATTACTTGATTAACTTTTCTATGACCAGTTAATCATCTGGGAAATGGAGCTACTCACATCTGGCTGACCTTTTAGTTGGGAATGTTGAGGTGATACTTTGTGCATCCTGCTGCAGGAAGGTGGTGTGGCTGAGTGAAGAGAACCTAACTTTAGACTGTGGTGATTTAGGTAAAATTCTAGATGGAGTACTGAGCAGTCTTGTGGCCTTTCAGTACTTTACCTCTCTGGGGCTACATCTGTCATCTGTAAAATAGGATTACTATTACTATTCTTAGGGGTTTTTGATGAATATTAAATGCAGTGATATATGCAAAGGATTTAGCACATGACTGGCATATAGTAGAGGGTTAATACATAACAATAACTAGAAGAGTTTGAAAACCTTTGTAAATACACTGTTGTAAGTTTTAGTTATTATTACGGTTTCTTCTCTGTCCAAAATTCTCAGCCTGAATGTTCATATGTCATTTCAAATAGAAAGTTCAGGGAAATTATTTGTATCATTATATCCCAGAAATTAATAATAAGGGGAAAAATGGGTTTGATTCAATTTAATATATCAAACTGAACATCTCTATTGATGGATAATCTGAATAATTAATCTCAATTATTATTATTTCTCCTTTGTAACGTTAGTATAAATGAGTACATAGGAAAGAGCAATCAGTTTTGTATTAAGAGTTAGAAAAATTATTCTTTTCACCTGGCTCTTCAACTTACTAGCTCTTATCCCAGACAAGTTACTTAGACATTCTGAGCCTTGATATCTTCTTAGGGAAAATGGGAATATTAGCATTTTATTCTGAGAGGAGGAAGATAAATTGGGACTTATATACTTGAAAAGGATTGTACAATAGGTCGAATGATAAAATTTTAAAGTATTTAATAATTAATTATGGGTTTTCTTTTTTTTCTTCCAGTTTTATTAAGGTATAATTGACATATAGCACTGTAAACATTTAAGGTGTACAGACCTATGGGTCCTCTTTAAACTGAGGGCCCGATCACGTTACTCAACTGCTCAAAATCCTGCAATGGTTTCTACTTCAGTCAGAATAAAACACAGATTTCTTTCAATGGTCTCCAAAGTCCTGCATAATCTGTTTCCCTATTCTTCTTTGGCCTCACCTCACACAACTCTCCTTCTTGCTAAGACTGCTACAGTCACATTGGCTTCTTTTCTGTTCCATGAAGACACCACGATACACACACACTCCTTGGAGCTTTTCCCCAACTGTTCCCTCTTCCCTGGATACCCATTGAGCTCACCTTCTCAATGAGGCCTACCCAGAACAATGCGATAAATACTATGTGTTCATCCTTTAGCAATACTGCTCCTTCTTATGCCTTTTTTTCTGTTTTCACTTAGCACTTACTATTTTTTAATATACAAGATAATTTTTAAATCATTAGGTCAATTGCTTACTTTTGTCTCTTTTGCTAGAATGAAGGCTAATTGAGGTTAGGGATTTTTGTCTGTTTTGTTGTCTGGTTCTCAAGCATCTAGAACAGTGCCTGGCACATAGTAAGCATGGATTTAAATATTTCTTGAATGAATTTTATTTTATTCATTTATTTTATTTTATGTTATTTAGTATGCTCCCATGAAAAGAATCGACTATAGAACTTACCTTATCCTTAAAATCATCAGAGCAATTATCATTTAATTA